TACTATTAGGGTTTTATCCTTATTATTTGTATTAGATTGCTAGATATTACAAGTTTGTCAACCACGTCTTTTAATATTTGTTTGCTATACCCATACCCATATTTCTCTTTGATGTTTATGATAAAAATTAAGTTGCAATGGATTTTTGCCTTAATTTATTTATGCATAAATTTCATGTAGGTTGAATTTATTCATATAATAGCAAAACCTATTTTCTTGAATGTTACTTATATTGAATGCAATAAATTTTATCCTAAAAATCATATTTTTTATTATAAATAGTAAATGTCATATTAAATATATAATACTTGTTAAAACTTACATATAGAATACATAGAACTGCATGCTCTGTGCATTTTATATAGCTTAGGTTTTGCCATTGTTTCTTCTCGTTTCTTTTCCGTTAATTGTTGTTTCACTTCATTGTTTGTGCTAATGTTCAAAAGTTTATGAATAAAATAAAATTTTTAGTTACTTTGCTTTCTTTACTATTTAAATTACTTGTATGTGAAATTTTTATTGTGAGTATAAAATATGTTTTATTCGATCTTAGCTCTTGAAACTTATTTCAATAGTTGAGTTCAATCTCCTCATCATGTCCCATTTAGCTAGGGTGCACCACCTTCTAAACCCGTGGTGTTACAATTATATTAAAATTTTTAATTTTAAAAATAAATTAAACGAAAAGTCATCAAAAAATAATAATAAGAAAAAAAGACTTAAATTGATTTTATTCAACTCTTTCGTTGCTTGGTTCGACTCTGTAAACTTTGACCTATGGGAAATGTAATTTGCATAAACTAATAAGTTGTCGCTACATTGCAGCATGTTATTCCACTATATGATTAAACAAAAGGCCCCTTTGTTTTTATTTTTTTAAAGGTCCAATTACAAATATATTAAAGTTCTTTATTCAGAATTTCCATACATTTGATGACCATGATTTGCATCCACTCAAAATTAAAAAATAAATAAAATAATAAATAAATAAAAACAAGAGTAGAACATAAGTGCCCAATAGGTGATATTGGTATCATATGCGTTTGCTCGTAATACTATGAGCAAATAAAAAAGTTAGAAGAGATAAAATGAAACTAGCAAAGACCCACATTGGTGAATGATCCAATACACAATGCTATGGGCTTTATGGGCCTATATAAATAATATATATATATATGTATATAATAGTATTATTACTATATATATATATATATATAGTATATATAGTATAATTATATATTATATATATATATATATATATATATATATATGGGGAGAAGGATCAAAATGGTTCCTAAACCTTTTATGAATGACGAAAATGATCCCCAACTATATAAAAGGATATTTTTGGTCTCTCGAGTTCTTAAAGAGGAACCAAGATAGTCCCACCATGGGATTATTTTTGTTCCTCTTTAAAGAGTTGAGGAATCAAAATGGTCATTTAATATAGTTGAGGACCATTTTGGTCTTTCATAAAGAGTCAAGGTATTATTTTTTTGTGTGCGTGTGTATATGTATGTATGTATGTATATATGTATATATGTATGTATATATGTAATATAGATGTATGTATAGATACATATATATACATACATATATATACATACGTACACATTAATCAATCAAATTATATTGGAGATATTTAGGGCTACCCACGGCATCTAGTTGTATCATCGTGTCCAATAAATTTTGTATGCTACCAAGCTGTGCCAGCATCTGTTACAATGAAAAAAAACCAGATAACAAAGTAAATGTAACATAATCTACACTCAAGAACCTTAAAAATATGAAACCTTATCAGTTAACTGCGACAGCACATCTTCTTCAACTTTTGCCGCTAGAGCTCGTGCTTGCTGTAATTCGTCATTTAGTTCCACAGCAGCAATGGGCTCAACCAGATAGTCAGAACCTGAGCTGCTAATACAAAAGAATGAATGTTAACAGACAAAAAAAAACCGTGGAAATTATCTTAGTGATGCAAAGCATATATTTGCTGATTTTGGTTCTGGAGACAACATGACAGGGAAGTGAAGAGTTGTCATCCCCTTATTAGTTTCTTCCATTTAGAAACAAATACTCGACACTTACACTAATCTAATCATTTGACACTTTTCTTGTTAGTTAATTAGGTTCTAACAATGTAAAATTAGGTGTGCGTTGACTGATTAATATAATTGATCCTATTCCTCAATTTGGTTACTTCAATTTGGTTACTTCAATTTGAATTCCATCTGAGGTTTTACCTCAAAATGGATTAACTATGATCAATAGGCAACAATATTATGTGGTTAATGACATGCCTGCTAATTAATTATTTTCTAATTTTTATAAACTTTGGCAAACTTGAAAGAGCCCATTTAAACTCTAGTCTCTAGGAATATATTAACTATTCACTTATGAAAAGCAAATTGCGTGATGAATTATATGTAGTGTATTAAGCACATGCTTGACTTAAATATCATACTTTGGGTGTTTGCTTCAGCTTCCACTGACTTGTAATACAAAGGGAAGTAAGAGTGGCCTTGGATGCATATTGAGGCGGATGACTCACGCTTCTTAAGAAATAAAATGCACCATTCCAGATTAGGCGCACTCCTTGATAAGCTTATTAAGAGGCTTCATAATTTCATATTACAATCCACTTATAGATTCTATCTATTATTGTTTGCCCAAATTTTTTTCTCATAATAGACCGAACACTGTTCCTCAAAGTGCAATACTACTCCAAACTATTTATAATTTAAAAATTGCATGGAATAATTTAACACAAGATCTAATAAAAGTGTAAATCAAACCTCTTATTTAAAAAGCCCAAAAACACACCCAAACCACTGAGCTATCGATGAACTTTTTATATGCATGTGATAAAAAAATACATATATGAACCTTTCGTGAATAAGAAACCGGATGATTCCAAAGCAATTATATTGACAGGTGATACGTCGTCAAAAAAATATCTTAAACGGGCGTGAATCTCGATGCAAAATCAAGTTGGAAACTTCAAAAATTAATTCGGAGACCATCCGAACTCCGATTTCAGCAAACTTACAGTCAAACTGAGCGTCTCGGAAATACAAACCAACGACACCAAATTCAACCCAATCCGAGCCCAAATGGGTCCAAATCAAGGACCCGAAGCACTGTTGGAAGGTTCAAACCACAATTTGGATTACCAAACGGTTTCCAAACATAACAAGCTTATACTCGAATCGAGCAGCTCGACGAGACGAATCCAACGAGCCCAAGATCACTGAATTCCGACGCCAATTAGACCTTCAAATGTCCATCAAACGGTGTATGATCAAGGGATTCAATATCAGCCGTCCATCCAACCACTCCCCATTTACCCTTGATCTCTCACCTATTTACGAGTCATGTCATTCCCAAAATCTATAAATAGAGCTCTCTCTCCTCTTGAGAGGGGACCCCTAAGCCTAAGGAAAAAAGAGAGAGATCGGAGATCGCTCTTGCTTCCTTGCCTCCTCGACCACCGTCGGAGTTTCGCCGACCACCGCCGGAGTTCCGTCGAACCACCACTGGTCCACCACCATCGGACTTCCGCTGGACCACCACTTGAGGCCCTCACCTCCGTCGGACCACCGCATGACACTGTTGCTCCGTCGGACCACCACTGGAGGCCCTCACGTCCGCCGGACCACCACCTGACGTCGTTGCTCCGCCGGACCACCATTGGAGGTCCTCACCTCCGTCGGACCACCGCTTGACGTCCTGTGCTCCACCGGACCACCACTTGAGGTCCTCACCTCCGCCGGACCGCCGCCTGATGTCGTTGCTCTGCCGGACCACCGCCTGATGTCGTTGCTCCGCCAGACCATCACCTGAGGCTCAGACTTCTTCCGGACCACCACTTAAGGCCTTGTGTTCCACCAAGGCACCACCTGCGGCCCGGACTTCTGTCGGACCACCACGTGAAGCCCGAACTTCTGCCGGACCACCACTTGAGACCTTGTGCTCCATCAGGCCACCACCTGAGGTCCGAACTCCCCCCGGACCACCACCTGAGGCCCGGACTTCCATCGGGCCACTACTTGAGGCCTTTAGCTCCACCAGGCCACCACTTGATGCCTAGAGTTCTCCCAGAATACCGCCGACCTCCATCACCAGCCAACGGTCTTTCTGACCCCGATTTCCTGCCAACTACGATCTTTCAGACTCCGGCCTCCTACCGACTACGATCATTCCGACCTATGTCGCCAACTATGGTCCTTCCGACCTCCATCAACACCCAACGGTCTTTCAGACCCCGGTCTCCTACCGACTACGATCCTTCCGACCTATATCGCCTACTATGGTCCTTCCGACCTCCATCAACACACAACGATTTTTCTGACCCCGGTCTCCTGCCAACTACAGTCTTTCAGACCCCAGTCTTCTACCTCCTACGATCCTTCCGACCTCCATCGCCTACTACGGTCCTTCTAATCTACATCGCCAGACAACGATCTTTCTGACCTATCTCGTGCCGACTATGGTCCTGCCGACCAAACAAACATGTCTATGTTGATTATTGTAACTCCCACCATGTAATGCGCTCTATATGACGTACATTTATAACATCAAGCCAAGGCCTTCTTTCTAAGAAGGGCCTCATTTGTAATCGACTGTAAATACTAGTGGATTCATTCAAACTGGGCCAGGCCCCGTGGTTTTTCCCCTTTTTAGGGGTTTCCACGTAAAAACTCTGGTGACTCTTATGAATAATACACCCTCTCTCTTATCTGATTGTGTGCTAGATCTTCGTACAATGCTAAGAAGTTAAACTATATATTTCTCTACCGCCGCGAATACTCCAGAACGCAACAGTTGACTTCGCCGGACCACTACTTGAGGCCCTCACCTCCACCTGAATGCCGTCTGACGCCGTTGCTCCGCCAGACAACCACTTGAGGTCCCGCCTGACGTTGTTGCTCCGTCGGACCACCACTTGAGGCCCTCACTTTTGCCGGACCACCGCCTGACACCGTTGCTCTGCCGGATCACCACTTGAGGCCCTCGCCTCCGCCGAACCACCGCCGGACGCCGTTGCTCCGCCGGACCACCACTTGAGGCCCTCACCTCCACCGGACCACCGCCTGACATCGTTGCTCCGCCAGACAACAACTTGAGGTCCCGCATGACGCCGTTGCTCCGCCGGACAACCACTTGAGGCCCTCACTTTCGCCGGACCGCCGCCTGACGTCGTTGCTACGCTGGATCACCACTTGAGGCCCTCACCTCCGCCGAACCACCGCCGGACGTCGTTGCTCCTCCGGACCACCACTTGAGGCCCTAAACTCCATCGGACCACCGCCTGATGCCGTTGCTCAGCCGAACCACCACTTGAGGCCCGGACTTCCTCCGAACCATCACTTAAGGCCCTATGCTCTGCCAGGCCACCATCTGAGGCCCATACTTCCTTCGGACCACCACTTAAGGCCCCGTACTCCACCAGGCCACCACCTGAGGCCCGGACTTCCACCGGACCACAACTTGAGGCCCGGACTCCCCGAACCACCACCTGAGGCCCGTACTTTTGCCGGACCATCACGTGAGGCCTGAACTTCTATTAGTCCATCACCTGATGCCTAGAATTCTACCAGAGTACCGCCCTATACCAATGGTCATTCAGACCCCCATCTCCTGCCGACTACGGTCTTTCCGACCTACATCGCTAAACAACAGTCATTCTGACCCTGGTCTCCTGCCGATTACGGTCCTTCTGACCTCTGTCACCTACTATGGTTCATCCGACCTCCATCACTAGACAACGGTCTTTCTAACCCTGATCTCCTGTTGACTACGGTCCTTCCAACCTCTATCACCAGACAACGATCTTTTCGGCCTCCAACCTATCGACTATGGTCCTGTCGATAAAACAAACACATGTCTATGTAACTCCCACCATGTAATATGCACTATATGATGTACATTTGTATCATCAAGCTAAGGCCTTCTCCCAAGGAAGGGCCTCATTTGTAATCGACTGCAAATACTAGTGGATTCATTCAAACTAGGCCAGGCCCCGTGGTTTTTCCCCCTTCTCAGGGGTTTCCACATAAAAACTCTGTTGTCTCTTATGAACGCTACACCCTCTCTTTTTATCTGTGTGTGTGTTGGATCTTCGTACATTGCTAAGACGTTAAACTATATATTTCTCTACCGCCGCGAACATTCCATGACACAACAACAGGAATGCTGGAAATTAATATAGACGATAGAATAATGCTTTTATAACGATGTATTCAAAGAGAAAGGAATTAATAATCAAAGTGACTAAATCTTTTAATATTACAATAATAGCCCTAAATTTTAAATGTACCTAAGTTATTACGTTAAAAGTCTTTTAAATTTTTTAAAAAATAATAAAATTATAAAATATGATATGCAATTATAAATCAATATTGAAGAAGTCGAAGGAATGATCCTCACGGATCATTTCGTCGAACAAGGAAAACACAGAGAAAGCAGTGAACAAAAACAGAAATTTTGAAAAGCATTCAAATGTATTTACTGAAGCATAAACTGGTGTATAAATACACATATGCAAGTAGATTAGTAAAATGACTAAGCTACCCTAATTACTTACATAAAGTGAAAAAGACAGTGTGCTGGAGCAGAGAAAGTGGCGGCAAAGCAGTAGAGGAATGTCAGCTGGTGCTCAGAAGAAGTGGAGTAGAGTTGTGCTTTTCAAATATCATTAAAATATGTTGCCTGGGTGATGCTTGATTGTTTCATCAGGTGGTCCTTAGGCAATGGAAGTTGGATTTATCTTTTTATGAATTTTGTTGATCTGAATGGGAATGGTTTTTCTCCCTATTAGTTGGAGTAACTTCTACGAGGTATTACTAAAATCTTGGTTCCAATGACTTGTGCATACGCAGCGGCTCTGGGATGTTTCATACAGGTTTGGTGTA